TCGTCCTACTTACCGGCGCTCAGCATGAATCGCGACGCGTTCGGCGGGGACGGGAGCGAGTCTGCCGAGTGGGGATGCGAGTTTAGCTACGGCGAGGAGGTGGAGGTCACGCGCCGCGCGCTCCTGGAAGCGCGCAAGGAGACCCGCGTCTAAACGCGTCGTCGACGTCGACGCCACTTCTCCCTCCCCTGCCCCTGCTGCCCTCCGACTTCCCTCCCCTCGAGGGGGCGCGGGGGTCTGTGGGCGGGCAGGGCGGGGGGGGGCGCGGAGGCGTCGTCGTCGCCGTCGTCGTGGTTTCGACGTGGGTCGCGCTCGCGCGCAGGCCGAGCAGCAGACCGCGCTCGGGCCGGAGCGGCCGGAGCTGGCGCCGCCAGTCGAGGACGGCGGCGGCGGGAAAAGGCCCGCGGGCGTCGCCTTCTCGGCCAAGGTCTCGGACGACGAGGGCGAGCATGGCGCCGCGGAGGCGGGGGGGCACAACGAGAAGCGGCGGCGCGAGGACATCTCGCTGATGCGTCAGGCGCGGCGAGCGCGAGCGGCCAGGCTGCTCGGCAGGGTCCAAGGGTCGCGTCGCTGCAATTCGTCGAGCGCCGGTGGCGACGCGAGCGCAGACGCTGCTCGTTCGAGCCGCTGCGTCGCCGCATGGGCCCGGTTCGTCCGAGCCGCGGAGCTGTTGCCTCGACGCCTCGCTCTGCAGCCTGATTTCACGCGCCCTTGCGCTGGCCCCGTGGCGACGGCCCTGTCTGCGCCTCAGTTCTGCAGCGCGTGCGCAACAAATTGAATAATGCAATTGCGCATTCTACCGGTTGCGACCGACGTCGCATCCAGTCCCATTTTCCACTTCCACGCCCCTTCCTTTTTTCATTCGTCGCTTTCTGCCCGCCTCTACCAATGCCCCCCTGCCCCCCTCCCGCGGCGGCGGCGTGGAGGGCGGCCCGAAGCGTCGCCGGCAATGGCGGCAGCGGCGGGCGTCTCTTGCAAGCAGTGACAGAGCGTCCCGTCAAGCCCATATGCCCACCAAAGAAGGTTCGAGAAGCCTTTTGTGGCTTGCACGAAATAGTCTTAGAAAATAGATTGTCGAGACTGTCTTGGTTAGTACATCGGGCTAATGTTCGAAGAACAACGTTTTTTGATATTATGTTTTTTTCGAGTTCTAAGAACATATCGTGGTATGCCAATCAGAGTGCGGGGCGGTCGGCCGCTGCTCAAGTCTTCCTTTTCGTCGTCGCCGAATCGTCAACTCGTCGACTCGACTCGACCCGTCAACTCGAGACGGTTCGACCCGTCGTCGGCTCGTCGACCTCGGGCCATCGACCCCAGGGCCCTCCGCTCCGCGCTGCGGTCCTGGGGTCCGCGGGGGTCCATTGGATCCACGGGAATCGCGGCGTCGCCGCGTCGCCATTCGTCAGTCGTCGAGTCATCGAGTCGTCGGGTCGTCGAGTCGTCGCGTCGAAGTCTTCTCTGGCCGTCGGAGGCCCGATATGGTGAAACCTGCCCGAGGCCAGCGGGCCCGGAGCGGCGCGGCGGCGACTGCGCGGGCCCCTGGCGGTCCAAAGTCACGTTATCTGCGCGTTTTTCTGGGGGCGGCGGAGCTAAAAACGTCAAGTGCCGAGGCCCGAGAAATTCGACGTCGGCGCGGGTCGTTAGAGTTGTCCGAGTCGGCCCGTCGCGCCCCCGTCGCCTAGCTCCGACGTCGGCTTCCTGTCGGTCAGGGTCATGATGTTGGGCCGCGATATTTTGGGGCGCCCCCCCGGGGTCGCCGCAGGCACCGGGGTCCGACGGGCCCCGGGTTTTCGAAATTGCGCCCAGGGGGCCTAGACAGAGGCCCGAGGACGTCGGATCTGGGTGCCAGCAGTCCGCTAGCCTCTGCCTCTCTGCTCCTCTGCCCCTCCGCCTCTCTGCGCGGCGAGGGCGGGGGGCGCGGCGATTGAGCACCTGGCCCAATCTAGCTTCAAATCCATTGATATTACGCGCCGCGCGCGGCATGCGCGCTTCAAGTCATCCGCCCAAAAATCGCGAGTACATCGGCAGAGGCGCGCAGGAATGCTTCAAAACATTTATGCTTGCAAGTTATACACAAAAACACACGCGCAACCGCATGCACTCTCCAGAGGTTATATGCGATGGCGCACTGTTCTTGGGGTGGGTGGACAATGCGCGACGCGTGGAGGAAGAAACAAAAAGAAACGCTCAGTCGCGTTAGAATTGTCCAACGGTTATATGTTGATGCATTCCTTGTTTTCTGCAAAGGCATGCTGGAATTGAAAACAATTGCGATATATTTAACAATTATCAGGAATCGCATATTTCGTCATCGCGTGAAACAGAACTAAACAAAACCAGCGCCGAGAAAATTATTTTCGCATAGGGATATGTGGTTCCGCGCGTTCTGCGCGCTGACCCCGTCTCGGCGGCGCGCGGCTGCCGACGGAGGATCCTCCAGCGGCAATTGGGGGGCCAGTTCCGGAGGTCCCGCGCTCCGCTCCGTCCGGTGGAACGGGGCAAACTGTTGCGTCCCCAGCCCTCGCCTTTCCACTGGCTGGAGCTGCGCTCGACCGCCAAAAGTGTTTTGGCTACCTCGTTGCCGACGCGTGTCTCCGACTCGCCAAGCGCACGGGGTGCCCGCGCGAGCTCACTATCGTTCGGGCACCCTTCAAGCGCCACGTTCGCATGGGGGGAGCCTACTCGCGGCCCTTGGCCCGCACTGGCGGGCGGACACCTTCAAGGCAGCTCCTGGTCCTTTGACGATATCAAGCTCCCGATGTGCGTCGGGACCAGCCGCCGACGCCGCCATGTCCCGAGGTCGTTCAGCGTCACCTTCGTCGACGACAGCAACTCCGTTGCTCCCTCGGTTGCAGAGTTCGGGGAGGCGCTCAAGCAGACCGACTGGTTCGACCAAATCTCTGGTTTGTTGGTCCACCCGGGGGAAATTTTCGGATGGGTCCTCGGCCAGGTCAACCAGTTGACGCCGCGTGGCGAACCTCTTCGCATGCACGACAAATTCAAGTTGGCTGACAGCCGCGTCAACGCATTCCTGACCCCACCCCTGACCGGCTCAATCTCTCGGCCTTTGCAGACGCCCGAGTCCGCAAGGCCCATGAACGCCGACCGCGGGTCGCAAACCTTCACGGGGGCATGGGGGCAGGAAGCGCGCGCGGCCAGGTCACTTGTTGCCAGCGTCTGCACCGCGGGCACCGACGTCCAGGCGCCGTCCACGGGCGCCACACGTGGCTTCAGCAAGGCGCTTCTTGCCGCCCTCGGGCCCCGTGGACGCTCGCGGCTCTCCTAACTGGGCTACAATTGCCATCCGCGTGCCAGGCCATGCCCTCGACCTTGCGGCCATCGTGGAGCGCGAGGTCCCATTCGTTGTCCGAAGACAGGTCAAATTCGATAACTGGCCCAGCCGCGTTGTGGACGACCTTCGCCTGGCAGCTCGAACTGGCCAAGGCGGCGGTGGTCCAATTGGCCGATTCTTCCAGACCCTCGGCCAGCTCAGCTTTGACCTGGCCAACCAAAGGCACCATGTACGATGACTAGGGCACCGCCATCGCATCCCGCCCGCCCAGCTGTTTAGCCCATATGCTCCGGGCGTCCCAAAGGTGGGCCTTCCTGCGAAGGTTCAAACCATCCTGCCACGACCTCGGCTTTCTCGTGTCGGTACCCCAAGGGGTCGACATGTGCGCTTCCGCGCACCTCTTGCGAGGTCCAACTCAAGTGCGTGCCCCAGGCAAGCAGGGCTCCTGGTTACATGGCTGGAGGAAACCGCACGCAGCAACGCTTCCACCGCGCCAAATGCAATGCAGACGACTCCCCGGGATGCCGATTTTGTGATCAAGGGGAAGAGACGCAGGAACACATCATGAGGCGATGTCCGTGCTGGGCCCACCAACGCCGAGCTCTCACCGCCATGGTCTCCGAACGCCAGTGGGCCCAGTTCCCCCCGCGCACTCGCCATTGCGGATTACTACCTGAAGACCCCCGCAAACTCGACCTGCAGCAGGCCGGACCTCCAGCAGGACGCTTGGCACGAATGCGCCGACCCAGACGGCGCTCGATGGGTCTAGTCGGCCACTGACGGGCCCTGCTCACACCAGGCCCACCCGCTGCTGGCGAGTTCAGGTTTCGGTGTCTTCTACGGGACAGACCACCCAAAACATTCCGCCAGACTCCACGCGCTGGTTCAGTCCGCCCAGCGCGCGGAGACCCTAGCCCTCCTCCACTTGGTGTCTACCGCTGAATGACCAGTCCACATCTTTGTCGACAATCAGTCTGTTCGCGATACCTTTGGGCTCCTGCTCAGCGAAGCCCAGGATTAGGACGAGTAGGAGGAGGAGGAGGAGGAGGAGGAGGAGGAAGAGCAGCAGAAGGAGCAGGAGGAGGAGGAGGAGGAGGATGAGAAAGAGGAGGAGAGGAGGAGGAGGAGGAGAGAGGTGGAGGAGAAGGAGAGGAGGAAAGGATGATGATGATGATGATGATGATGATGATGATGATGATGATGATGATGATGATGATGATGATGATGATGATGATGATGATGATGATGATGAGGAGGATGATGAGAGGAGGAGGAGGAGGAGGAGGAGGAGGAGAGGAGGAGGAAAAGGAGGAGGGGAGGAGGAGGAAGAAGAAGAGAGGAGGAGGAGGAGGAGGCGGAAGAGGAGGAAGAGGAAGAGGGAGGAGGAGGAGGAGGAGGAGGAGGAGGGGGAGGAGGAGGAGGAGGAAGAGGAGGAGGTGGAGGAGGAGGAAGAGGAGGAGGAATAGGAGGAGGATGTGTAATAATACCAATCATCGCAGTAAGACCAAGAGAACAACAAGTTAAGAAGCCTCACACGTAGAATTAGGAAAAACAGCAATGCCATTAAGAGTAGTACTCACATCAAACCAGAAGCGTCCACATAGGCGCAATGATAATCAGAATGCGATCGAGTAGTGGTAATGGGCAACATGAGGCGAACAATGATATGGCGAGGAGGCAAAGGAGGAACACCTGGAGGGCAGGGCAGGTGCTGAAGCTGCTGCGCTCCTGGGAGGGCCGCAGCGTGGTGGCCGTCCTGGCCGGCCACGACCACGACGGCGGCTACGCCGTGGACCCTGACAGCGGCAGCCCGGGGGGGCGGCCCCTCCTCCTCCTCCTCCTCTTCCTCCTCCTCCGCCTCTTCCTCCTCCTCCTCCTCCGCCTCGTCCTCCTCCTCCTCCTGAAATTGCTCAGGACCAGCCCACCCACCGGGTTGTCCATGAAGGGAAGTTGGCGTCTCTTGCCCGCCTGGATCGTATTTTGGTCAACATGGTTTCGGCCGACATCTTGGAAAACATCTTGGGCCTCAAACCGAACAGCCTGGTTCTTGGGTCTGCGGCTGACATGTCTGGGCTCTCGGACCACGTTCCTGTCTGTGTTAGCCTCACTCCGAATGCGAGACCGTCGATGTTTCGTGTTCCCAGCTGGGTCAGTAATCATCCGCTCTATGTTGAGGCGTGTGCGGAGGTCTTCGCGGACATCGATCTCTCCGAAGACATCTCTGAACGTTTGAGGGTTCTCGTGATGTACTTAGGGCTGCTTCCAAGTTAGTTATTCGGTGACTCTGGGCTGACTTCGACGCAGAGCGTATTTCTTGGTGCATGGCCCTTCTTCGTGCGATGAGGAGGGAGGATTCGGCCCTGTTTTGTCGTGCCCTTCGTGCCTACCCTGCCCTGGAGGCCTTCTGTGATGGCCAATCTGTTTTGTGGTAAGACCTGCCTGGATTTCATCTGTGTCTGGGGGCTTTACAGACAAAGCATTTTGGAGGCCCGACTTCGTGAATTGGAAGCTGACCAGGACCTACCTCCCCCTCGGAAGGCGGCCCTTCGCTCCAGGCTGTATAACTACTATTCGGCGTGGCACCCTTCGGACCTTCGGCGGATCTCTCTTGCTGGCCTTGCTGACCCCTCGGGGGTCAAAGTGACCGATGCGAAACAGGTTTGCGATCGCCTGGCTGCCTACGGGGGGGAGGTCCATAGCGAAAGGAGGTGCGACCCTGACGCCCTTCTCGCGCTTGCCCCGCATGTTCAAAGGGCGCCAGACCATGTGGAATGGGAGCTGTGGTGCGAAGAGTTCGTCGAGTGCCTCTCCAGGGTCAAGGACTCCACCGCCGGCCCTGATGGGCTGCCGTACTCCAGTTGGCTTCGGTCTGGGGAGTGTGGTCTGAGGACGCTGCACCTGTTTTACCGGCAGCTCTTCCTGGGTGCTACTCCTGACGGGCTCAACATTGCCATCGCGGTCTTTCTGGCCAAGGGGTCGGTGCCCGAGGATGTCTTGGGGATGCTCTTTCGGACTGAGGGTGCGACCAGCCCGATCTGCCTCTCAGACTCTGCCAACACACTGGTCTCGATTGCGCTGAACAGAACTCTTCGGTATAGCTGCCAGGTGCGCGTAGTCGGGTGGCAGCGGGGGTTCATTCCTAAGAGGCCGGGGGCGTGCAACATCGTCGAACTGGAGGGCAGGGCAGGGTTCTCTCATGGTGTGCGCAGAGAGGTTTCCCGCGGGGGTCGTCTTCTACGATATTCGCGCCGCCTTCCTCGCTCTCCTCCACGAGATACGCTGGGTGCTTCGCATGATGGACGTTCCCGAGGGGTTGCGTCGTGCAGCGAAAGCGCTGTATTGGAATATTTGGATTCAGCTTTCTTTTGGGGGACCGTGGGGGCTAGTTTTTCCGCTTTGAGGGGCATCAAACAGGGCTGCCCTCTCAGCGGCAGTATTTTTGCTCTCGCGTTCGACCTTGTCCTCAGGCTTCTGGGGTCTAGGCTTCCCAGGGACCTGGCGGCTCCTGGGGCCTTCGCCGACGATGTCGGCATCGGCGCTGCTGATGTTTACGACGCCCTTGTCTGTAGTGTCCCCGTCTTTGTGATTGTTGCGAAAGCAGTTGGGCTCTTCCTCGAGGTGAAGGGGGCCCAGGTCGTTGTCCTTAGCTGCCCGTCGAGGGACGAGTTCGAGGCAAATTTGCAACCTCGTGGCCTTTCGCTCAAGTCTTGCATCCTCGGCTCGCGTGGCCAGTATCTTGGCCTGTCTCTGGGATCTGGCGGCGCCCAATTCAGTTGGCCCCCTCCAGGTGCGAAGTGTCTCGCTCGGTCTCGAGCGATACGCGCGCTGGACCTTGAGCTCGCGCGCAGCATCTCGAGGTTCAATGTGTTTGCTTCTTTCGACTCTGTTGTCCGCTGGGCAGTTTTACCGCCCGGGTGGCCACGTTTTGAAACAGGAAGCTGCCGCGCATCAGATTTTACGCGCTGCGCCTTGGAACGCTTTCTCTTCTGACTTCCTGATGTCCCTGTCTCAGGTTGGGTTTCCTGTGGATGTGAGGAGTCTATGGCGGGAGGCCCGCGCTGCCCAGTAAAGGTGTGCAGTTGCGTCCCCCGCCTTCTTTCGCATTCGGGATTTGATTGCGTCGGTTGCTGGCGACGGCGATTGTATCATAGCCTATCGGCAGAATGCGTGGTTCCAGTCTTCGATCTTCTTTCACCGGTTAACTAACTTCGAGGCTTTGTCCGCGATTCCGGGGGTCCCTGCCTTTATCGAGCGCGGGCTTCAGAGGACGACCGCCGCTGCCCTGAAGGCGGGTGAGCACATTAGAGCTGCCGACATCCTCGGGGGACGCATTCGTAAGTATATGCCCTGCACAGATAGCATGTTGCACTGTCCTGTCTGGTCCCTGTCTCGGGTCGCCCAGCACGTCCCTCCGTGTGTGGTTGCTTCGACCGTGCGCACACTTGTGAATGGATGGTGCTGCTCAGGGCGTTTCTCTGACCCCATGAAGCCGTGCATCATGTGTGGGTCTCCGAGAGCCGACCGACTCGAGCACTACCTTGAATGAAAATGATTCGTTGAGCCTCTTTGTTTTCCCCCTTCTTCCTCGTCTCCCCCCCTCCTTTGTCTCCTGTCTTGGTCTTGCTCGTCGCTGTTTTGTCCCGTTTCTCTCGCTCCCCCTCCCTCAGCTTGTCTCGATTAGTATTTTCTACGATTGGATTTGTTCTAGCTACCACACTTACCGCCATAAGGGCGGTCTTCGGGGTTCCAGAATGGCCCGTGCCGCCTCGGCTCGGTTGGCCCAGCATATCCGTCGTGCCCTTCGGCTGAATCGGAGGTGAGGGGGTGAGATCGAAGTGGAACGGAGAGCCCCCCTACCGGGAAATCGATTTCGGTTTCGTGTTCGTGCGTGCCGTGCGCGCGGGCGAGGCGAAGCTGCGTGGGCGGGCGAAAGGAAAGTCTCCTGTGGCTGAGGCGCGGCCGGACCAAATGTGTCTCTTCCGGGCCGCCGGTGGCGCGCGGTGTCCCGCCGGTGTCCCGCTGGTGTCCCGTCGGTGTCCCTGTGGCTGAGGCGCGGCCGGACCAAATGTGTCTTTTCCGGGCGGCCGGTGGCGCGCGGTGTCCCGCCGGTGTCCCGCTGGTGTCCCGTCGGTGTCCCTGTGGCTGAGGCGCGGCCAGACCAAATGTGTCTCTTCCGGGCGGCCAGTGGCGCGCGGTGTCCCGCCGGTGTCCCTCTGGTGTCCCGTCGGTGTCCCGTCGGTGTCCCGATGATGATGTGATGATTGTGATGATGATGATGATGATGGTGATGATGATGATGATGATGATGATGATGATGATGATGATGATGATGATGATGATGATGATGATGATGATGATGATGACAATGATGATGATGATGATGATGATGATGATGATGACGACGATGATGATGATGATGATACTGATGATGATGATGTTGGTGTTGTTGTTGATCATGATGATGATGACGTCGATTGAGAGATCGATTGTGACATCGATAGTGAGACCGAATGTGAAATCGATTGTGAGATCGATAGTGAGATCGATTGTGAGATCGATAGTCAGATCGATTGTGAGATGATGATGGTAATGATGATTATGATGATGATGGTGCCGAGTGAAAATTGTCGAGTGAAAATCGATAATGAGATCGATTGTGAGATCGATAGTGAGACCGAATGTGAAACCGAATGTGAGATCGATTGTGAGATCGATTGTGAGATCGATAGTGCGATCGATAGTGAGATCGATAGTGAGACCGAATGTGAGACCGAATGTGAGATCGACTGAGATCGAGATCGATAGTGAGATCTACAGTGAGACCGAATGTGAGACCGAATGTGAGATCGATTGTGAGATCGATTGTGAGATCGATAGTGAGATCGATAGCGAGATCGATAGTGATATCGATAGTGAGATCGAATGTGAGATCGATTGTGAGATCGATAGCGAGATCGATTGAGTGAGACGTTGGTTCCCCCTCCCCCCTCACCTCCTTATCACCCGCAGGGTGGTCGTATAGGTAGTATAGTACTTTGAGTCTCGAGCCACGGGCTGAGCTTGAGAGGACACTTTTTGAAGGCATTCGGTCGCGGTGATGATCGCGACGAAGGCCACGGACTGAGGTTGAGAGGACACTTTTTGAAGGCATTAGGTCGTGGTACTTTGAGTATTGAGATGCTGCGGGCGTGGTTGGGCGTTGGGGCGCCTTCCCTCGCCCTTGGTGTCGCTGCTTCTGCTTGTTCATGCGCCCTGTGGAAAGCCCCCTGGAGGGGATGCGGATTTCCCTTGCCTCTGGACGGGCTTTCTTCTCGTTCGCTCTCTTGTCCGCACTCTCTTTCATTTTGGCAGTGGCGCTCCTCCTCCTCCTCCTCCTCCTCCTCCTCCTCCTCCTCCTCCTCCTATTCCTCCTCCTCCTCCTCCTCCTCCTCCGCCTCCTCCTCCTCCTCCGCCTCCTCCTCCTCCTCTTCCTCCTCCTCCTCGTCTGAGATCATGGTGACTCCTTTTTTAGAGCTGGGCGTTTTCGCTCAACTTGGGGTCGGTGGGTTCTCACAGATCTATCCGGCTCGAGGAACTGCGCAGAGTGATGGGGTTTGGGGGTCTGGTCGTGATGTTTTTCTATGTTGCAGCTTGTTTGCAGCGTCGGATCCCAGGGAGGGGCGAGGAGAAGGAAGGAGGAGGGAAAGAAGGAAGGGATCTTCCCCTCCCTCCTCTCGCCTCTCCCCTTCTCCTCACCCCCTCGTCTCCCTACCTCATCTCCTCCCTGCTCCCTTCTTTCTCGTCATCCTCCCTCGCCTCCTCCCTC